CGAGTTCTCTGCGGGAGAGGAGGGGACACGGAGGGGACAGTGTTGAGTCCTAGCGAGGCGCGTGTGGGAAGGGAGACGCACGCCTGTCGCCTCGCGCGCCTGGGCTAGGAGTGCGCGTGCACGGGGCGGGGAGGGCCTCTTGGCCGGTCCAGCGCGGACCTCACCCCCTGACCCACGGCCCCATCGCCTGCACTTTCCTTAAGGACTCCAGCGGAGACCAAGGCCGCTGACGCCCCTTCCCTTCCATGGTTTCCCGGACCCCAGGCAGAGCTCAGCAGACACCCTGCCTCTCCAGGAATTCGGAGTGTTTGCACTCTGCTTGGACTCCTCAGAAACCCCCCTTGAGCTCCCGGGGCGCACCCCCTTTTCCTTCCACCCCCGCGAATGGCACAGCGCCTCCTCGCGCTGGACCCAGAGGCTGAGCCCAAAGTCCAACGCCCCGCCGCGGGCCACGGTGAGCCGGTGAGGGCTGGGGGCTGGGGCGGGAGGGGAGCAGAGCTGCAGAGGTTGTAGCAACCGGGCAAACATTCCGGAGAAGTGGCCGAGGTGTGAAAATCCGAGGCTGGTGTGGATTTTCTAATTAAAATCCAATAAAGGGCCCAGCACTGTCATTGTGATCTCTGGAATAAATCGGGGCAACCCCCTCCTCCCCCTGCGATTCACACAGGACTCCGCCGGCCTCCCAGGCACTGTTTGCTCAGCCAGCCTCTTCTCCAGGCACTCAGAGTGTATTTGAATTTTAAATGGCGGGGCAGTCCCAGCACTGGCAGCGCGAGTTCTCAAGGCCCCTTGACTACCGCTTTCTCCAGCCCGCTGTCGCTCTCTGAGGCGCACTGTCCCAAGGACAATAATTGAAGTTGGGGCGGGGCGCAGGGGGCCCGGGAGGAGGGGCGGGGAGGTCCCCGTCTTCTTTGCATTCCAATCTCCGGGATCAAGCTTTTTGCAAATAGAGATTGCGAGAAAGAATCTTCCTGCTGGAATTACAGAAGGTTTTTAATCTTCTCATCGGTTTCTCCGTCATGAAGTGCGGGGCTGGCCGTTGGAGGCCCTCCGCAGCCCCCGGAATCCGACCGGGGCGTCGGCGAGCCCGAGTCGCGAGTCGCACGACCCTGCCTGACACGCACTGCGCCGGGTCCGAATGCCGATGAACGGCTCGGCGCCGGGCTCTGCTCTCCCCGGGCGGGACCCTCGGAGTCGGATGAGCCGGATGACCGTTGCTCATTTGGGAGGATCCCTCTCGGGAGCCTCGCCAGGGGGACCCGGCGGACTGGGACCGCCAGGAGACCACGGGTCAGCGCTGCGCCACGTCCTGGGAAGGGCACGCCCAGGGCCCAGCCCCTCCCGCCGCCTCCGTTTCCCTCTGGGCTTTGGGAAGGGGCCAGCCTGGCCAAAGGTTCCCGCTGAGGAGCGGGCGGGTGGGCGCCACCTCCCCTCTGCCTTGCAGCCCGGACCCTTCCCTGGGCTGGGAGCCCAGCTCTCTGCCGGTGGCGCTCCCACGCCTTCGCTTCTGTTTTTTGGAAAAGCCACTATTTTCTCTATCTACGAAGTGTGTCTTGACACTTTAAAAGTGTTTTTCTACTAATATATGCCTGTAAAATACGTTTAGGAGACAAACGGGGAAACTGGGGAGGAAGACAAGCTCCGTGCCATTCCCTGTGAAGTGTTCTGAACGTGCGTGCGGACTTCGCCGGCGTCTGGGTAGGCGACCGCAGAGGCCCGCCCCTGTTCCTTGCTGCAACAGCGCATGGCGTTGCAGGCCGGGGGAAGCCACCCCTTGGCGCTGGCTGCCTGGACGGGCCTTCCTGGCCCTGCCTGACTCAGGGGATCCCAGCTGGGCTCCTACTAAGAGCGGTGTTCTGGGCGTGAGGCCTCTAGACCCCGAGTGGTAATGACCTGGTTTCTGGGCTCCTACCAGGTCTCCCAAAGGCTTAGGGAGGGAGTTAAGTTAGTTTCCAACGCACAGGGGCTTCCGCCCAGGGGAAGACTCTTCTGGGCCTGGGGATGGGGGAGTCCAGTGGGTCTTTCAGCCCTAAAGGGAAGGAAGGGTCTGGACCAGGCAGGCTGCTTCTCCCGCAAGTCCCAAGCCCCTCCTCTCCTTTGGCCATTCGTTTTTCTCCTGCAGTGGGGGTTCCAGAAAGGGGGTGTGTGGTCAGGAAGCCACAGGCCCTGGCATCTGGGCTAGTGGAATCTGCAGCCTGTTTGGCCTCAAAGGTAGGGCAGTATCGGTTGGGTGGGGGGCACCTCAGCGGGTGCGCTTCCACCCCAGAAACCCAGTGGTGGCCCAGCACCCCTCCCTGCCCGCCTGTGTCCCCGCAGACCAGGCTGTGCGGATCGGGTGGCCAGGACGGCGTACCTGCTCTCACCGAGCAGTGGATGTGGGCCTTGGACTCGTAGTACACCCAGTCGAAGCCGGCCTCCACCGCCAGGCGCGCCAACATGCCGTACTTGCTGCGGTCGCGGTCGGACGTGGTGATGTCCACGGCGCGGCCCTCGTAGTGCAGCGACTCCTCTGAGTGGTGGCCATCCTCGTCCCAGCCCTCGGTCACCCGCAGCTTCACTCCTGGCCACTGGTTCATCACGGAGATGGCCAAGGCGTTCAGCTTGTCCTTACACCTCTGTGGAGAGAAGCGGGCCTGCTGACTGAGCCGCCACCACTGGCACCCCATGCACCAGGCCTCTGCGTCAGCTGTCCCTGCCCAGTGTGGGGGCCAGGGCTGCCCAGTGTGGGGACCAGGGCTGCCCAGTGTGGGGGCCAGGAGTGCCCAGTGTGGGGGCCAGGGCTGCCCAGTGTGGGGACAAAAAAATGCCCGGTGGGGGGACCACGACTGCCCAGTGTGGGGGCCAGGGCTGCCCAGTGGGGGGCCAGGAGTGCCCAGTGTGGGGGTCAGGGCTGCCCAGTGTGGGGACCACAAGTGCCCAGTGTGGGGGCCAGGAGTGCCTAGTGTGGGGGCCAGGGCTGCCCAGTGTGGGGGCCGGGGCTGTGTGGAGAGGTGGGCGAGCAGGCGTGGAATGGGAAGGAGAGGGTGGCCCTGGCTAGAGGAGTCAGTCTCCTTGGGGATGAGCCAAGGGCCTTTCTCCAGATCCTGAGGGGGCCACTCCTGCCCTGGCCTCAGAAGCAAGCGCAGTTTTGCAGAGAGGATGGACTGTGCCCCCAGGCAGGAGCAAGGGCCAGCCCTCCCCATTGCCATCCATGCCCCAGCCCTGTCCTACTCTCCACACCTTGCCAGGCTCCCCCTTCCTGGGCCTAATCCCTCACCAGAAGGCCAGAGAGACCTGTGCAACTGCAGAAGTGGAAGCCTTCCGGCCACCTGGGCCTGCCTCCTCCCTAGGGGGTCCCAGGTAGAACTGAGCCCTGCAGCTTCCAGCAAGGGTGCTGGGAGAGGGTCCCCGGAAAGGCGGCCAGGTGAGCTCATTCTCCAGACGGGCGGGCTGGACAGCAAACATTCTTTACCTGGGCAGCCACATTCTTCCCCGTGGAACTGCCGTGCGGCTCTCCTGTGGTCTGATTGTGCTCTTGTTTTCTTTAACTGGCCCCTTCCTCCCCTCTTGTTTTCTGGGCCCCAGTGTAGAATGGTGTCCAGCGAGTTTGAAGAGCAAACTTGAGTGGAGGGAGGGGGTGGAGTGTGCGAGGAGGGGGGATGGGGAGCCAGACAGGCCTGAGGCCGAAGAGCCCTTTGCTTGGGGAGTCTCCCTCTCAAACCCAGTGCGGCCAGGACACCTGAGTACGATGTGAGCCAGGACAAAGCGGAACTGGGGATCGTGGTGTCCCCTGCTCCTGGATCATAGTCAGACAAGGATGCAGTGACAGCAGTAGGCCAGGTGTGTGTGTGTGTGTGTGTGTGTGTGTGTGTGTGTGTGTGTGGCGGCTAACTCACTACCTGGACGCCTGTACTGCTGGTGGGATGTGAACTGAGGGGACATGACCATGGCATGCCCCCACTGGGAGGACCCAGCCAGGCAGAGGAGTCCGCTGCAGAGGCGAGGGCTGACCCCCGACCTGCCGGTCTGGAAGGATGCTGGCTCTGGGACCTGGTTACTAGGATGGAAAGACGGTCCCTCTCCAGGGCCCTGATTTCAGCGTGGGGGACTCGTGTGGGAAGGGGTGAGAGTGGAGAACTCACGCAGGCTGCTGCCCGCTCTACGGAGACGTGAGGAATTGCGCAACAGGAAAAGCCCTGCGTATCTGGCAGCAATAAAAACAGTGATATGGTTGCAGAGTTAAATATACAACAGCGGGGAGGGGCAGAGGGCTGGGGGCCGCCCTGGTGACAGGTCAGTGCTTGCAGGTTTCTGGGCCTGCCAGCAGTTTGCTTTAAAAAAAAATGTCGGAA